AATAAACCAAAACGTAAAAATGTGGAGATATATATTCTTTATACAGGAACTCTCTGTAGTTATATTAAATTCTCTATAATAAAAATGTGGGTTTTGTATTCTCTCTCTCTCTCTCTCTCTCTCTCTCTCTCTCTCTCTCTCTCTCTCTCTCCTCTCTCTCTCGTCTATGGTGTTTCTTCAGTCATTACACATAATGACTGGGTCCTTGAAGAATTAGACATGCAAATTCTTGCTATAACCCCATAGAAATACTAGAGATAGCCAGTTATTAATAAAATCAATAAACTATTAGGGACTTTACATGGGCTGAATTGAGGATCTCCAAAATTCATATATCGAAGCCCTAACCCCCAGTAACTTAGAATGTGAGTATATTTAGAATTAAAATGAGACCATTAGGGCAATGCTCCTCCAGGAACAGGATTGGCATACAAAAAGAGACATGAGGGGCACACACAGAGTAATGACCATGTGAAGAGGCAAGAAAAGGGACACCATCTATATAAGCTTCAAGGAAATCAATACCTGAATCCTAGACTTCCAGAACTGTGAGAAAATAAAGTTCTGTGTATAAACCAACAAGCCCAAGCTAGGGCAGTGCTTACAGATCAGTACAGGGACTAAGTGTATTAGCACCAAATATGGAAAATCACCTAGTATGCATTAGAACACTACAAACAATAACAGAACACAGTAATGATTTACAATAAAGTCTTGTTTTAAACTTCTAGAAAGTAAACTTTTAAAGTCAAGTGAAAAATGACTATCATTATGAACAGAGCAACTGTGTTAAGTAAATCTCTGTGGACAGTGCGGCATGCTTTCTAATGAACTAACCCTTACTATAGAATGAAAATGTTGCCCTGCCCACACTCTACTCTTGGGCTGGTACAAGAAACGGGGTTTCCTTATTTTATTTGTATTTCTTTATGGGCCACTGCTCAAGTATAACGATAACAGAGAAAAAGCAATTAACAAACAACGTGATTAAGGGCTGTTGAATTTAATCAAATACTTACCTACTTTTAAATTTGAAACATGACTTAAAAATATAAAGTACTCGTAATAAAGAGTAAAAACATAAACAAAAAGAAAAAAAGAGTAGAGAGAAAGGAGAGGGAGAGAGACAGTGATTGTAAAAAGCAGAAGTCAGGCTACAGTGTGACAATGCAGAATGGAGGAGCCTGGGTTCTTACAGCTTCTGGCTCATGTGACCTTAACATGATTTAATTTTATATGTTTTAGGTAAAGGGAAAGGCTTGAACAAGATAGTCACTTTTCAGACAGTGCTCAGGACTTTCCAAGGCTTCCTTGAAAATTCTTGTAGTGCGAAGATTAGAAATTAACTCAGGCTTTGTGCCTGCCCTTCAGCCCAGATTCAAGCAGCGCCTCATTTGTACATTAGCCCTGCAGTTATAAATGTTTGAACCCAATGTATTACAATGCTCTGTCCCCTGTAATATTCTTATCGATCATGCAGGTAAAGACACCGAAGAATTTCACATTAGAAATACTTAACACAGTAGACATACACAGAAAGTAGAATGAAGGGCGAATGATACTGATTCACTGGAACAATAGGAAGATGACACTACTTACAGGGATTTTGACAGGACAGGAGAGACTGTGCCTTTTACATATAAGATTTAGAATCTTATTTGATGGTAAACATTGTGCAATTAGCCTGAAGTATAACTTCATGGAAGAAAAATATGCAAATTTAGACAAATTAAGAGAATTTAATAAAATTTCCAGATTAATATTTTAAAGCTGTATCACTATTAATCATCAAATACAGAAAACAAACTTTACAATGAGTCAGACCTGAGTCCCAATGTTATTTTTCAAGTCTATACAAGACATATAACTTGAGTACATGCAGCTTCTAGCATGTCAACACAGGTGAACAGGGAATCTTGCAGTTCTGTGAGGCTCAGTGAGATCATGGATAACTCCTAGCATAATGGTAGACATGCTGAAGACACTTATGAAATTAATAAAGCTTCCACAGCACCACATGAAATTCTAGGTTATCTAATCCTCACACAATTCTAGGGAATGAGGGGAGATTAATCCACATACTTGCAAATTAAACAAGCATGGATCAAAATGGTAACATGAAATACTCAACCATGGCAAAGTGCAATACTCAAAGCATTGTCATTTACTTCTAACAGGACCAGAAAATGGTACCATTTTTCTGCAAAGCAATCTGGCAATGTATACTGAGGGTTTTTTTTTCTTCCCAACAATCATAAATAACAATCCAATTGAGAAAGGAATGAATTCATAAAGTGCCTATGGGAAATGGGAGTCATGAGAGGGTTCAATGACTACTGGCTACTCCCTTTATACACAGGTTTTCCACTAAGAAATACAGTGTTTCTAGGAATAAAATTATGTTTCCCCATTCCCGGTTTCCATAACTGTCCCCTGTCAGCCCAAATCTGTACATTCCTTAGAATTCCTAAAGCACAAATCAATCACGACCCACTTAGCCATCAAGTTCCTCACATTGCATGACCGCACATCATTCAGGGAGAATACTCCTAATGATATACCTTTTCTTAAGAGTAATCAAGGAGTGTGGAACAGAGGTGTACAATTTCTTCACACTGCTGAATCTCAAATCCAGAGCAGCACAAGATGCTAAAGGAAATGCCACCACAAAAAGAAGAATGAGAGGCAAAACAATGTATCTAACTCTGCTGCCACCACAGGAGTTACAACTCAAGACCTAAAGAAAAATGTTTTCATAAACAGTGGACACTTACCTAAGATGAGATGAAGTTTGGTTTCTGTCTGGAAAGCATAGTGCAGTGTCACCAAAAATGGTGACTGTCTAATGTGCTCTAGAACCTGTCGTTCTGTCTTCGTATGCTCTGTGGTTTTAGCCTTCTGAATGATTGTTGCCTTTTTCAAAACTTTCATTGCATACAGCTTTCCAGTATCATGACCACTTATTTTACGAACTAGAAACACTTTTCCATAAGCTGAAAAGGAAAAAAAATTAAATTGCTACATTAGCAAATGGCAATTTATGGAAATAAAATTTAGTATACCCGCCCAACACACACATAAAAACACTCTTTGAAAAGAAACGTATCCTTGGTGCTACTTCAAATAGTTCTTTGATAAATTTCTTCAACCTTTTACCAAATATATTTCTAGGTCTAGCCCTCAGTATTTACATGTTTAGCTACTGTTGATGAAGTTATGTTTTCATTCTTTAAACGTTATTCTCTCTTCAGGATTTTTAGCTGGAAGAAACTAACTGTTATTATGGTCAGCCAACCACAGTCCAATTTTGGAATAAGTAGGACATTTAGACATCAGATAAAACCTCTAGGTATATATTTATATTTATATATTTGCTTAATTTTGCTCCTTTTTTTCCCTTTCTTTTTTTTTTTTTTTTGAGTCAGAGTCTCAGTATATAGCCCAGGTTGGACTTGAACTTGAACTTATATCGTTCTATCTCAGTCTCCCAAGGTATGGGATTGCAGGCAAATGCCATTACATTATGCCCAGTCTTCAAGACAGTTTTCTTTTTCCTTCTTACATTTTCATGTTTGTGCATATGTAATGAACATATATGTATGTTTGCAGGTGGAGGCCAGAGGTGAGGTTGTATATCAGGAGTCATCCTCAATAGCTCTTCTACCTTAAGTCATTGAGGCAGGGTCTCTCAATCAAATCCAGGGCTCACTGATATGGCTAGTCTTGCTAGCCAGCTTACTTTAGGGGATCTCCTCTCTCTGCTTCTGGAGGCTAAAAGTACAGGTGGGTCACCAAGACCTCCTGGCATTTATGTGGGTTCTGGGGATCGAAACTTCAGTCCTTAGTCTTATGTGCCCAGTGCTTTAACCATTGAGCCATTTCCCCAGTCCTCCAAGACTGTTCTTAATAAGAGTCTCATACATGCAAATAAATGAAGTACTCGTCTACATTTTTTTTTTTTTTTTTTTTGTCTTTTTGAAGCAGAGTCTCCCTGTAGCCCCAGCTGTCCTGGAACTCACTATGTAGACCAGACTGGCCTTGAACTCACAGAGATCCGCCTGCCTCTGCCTCCCGAGTGCTGGGATTAAAGGTGTGCACCACCACACCTGGTGTATTCTTCTACATTTATTCTTAAAAACCAAAGCAATAGTAACTGACATTCTATAAAACAAAGGAGATCTTTAGACTTAAATATTAGACAGACACTCCTTTTTATTTCAAGCAGTAAATTCTTGATTTACTGGATCAACTTCACCATGCTTTTCATAAGTAAAGTCTGTGGGGGGCGGGGAAATCTTGTGTGTGGTATGCCCTGAGAGTGGGGCAGCTTCCCTGCATTTATTTCCCAAGGGGTGAAAAGAAGAGGAGGTGAGAGGAAAAGGGAGCAGGGAAAATAGGCAAAGAGAAAGAGGAGGAGGAAGAGGAGGAGCACGATGGAGGAAGATGACAACAACACAAAAGAAAACCAAACACACTATAAAAGGCTTTGAAGGAGGCAGGCTCCAAATTCATCCCCCTTGAGAAATACAAATGTGGCTTAGAATGGTTATACTTGTCCAGTTTCACTTCAGGAGTTAAATGCTTTAATTTAGACCACTTTGAAATGGGCTTAATTTTTGATCCAGATCCCTGTTACCTACCACACACCCTACCCTGTTTATACCTCCTTAGTATTTAGCACATAGTTCTATTATAATCCAGCTACTGGAATAGGAGAGCTTTATTGGAAGGGCTCTCATATTCTGTATGAGATTTAGTTCCATTCTTCAGGAACTAGGTAAGTATCAACACAAGATATAGCATGAATCAGTGCTAGACTAAACCAATCCTGAGGAAGAGAGGCCAACACTTGAGAAGGATGCACCTATGCCAAGCTCTAAGCTAAATTTACCCTTGCATGTACTGATTCATTTAATCCTCACCACAGCCAATAAAGTGGTATTTCAGCAATTCTATTTCACACATAAGGAAATGAGCTCAAAAAATTAAGGAACTGAACAAAAGACTTAGTCAAGAAGTGGCAGAGAAAAACTAAACAAAACATGAGTAGAGAAGAGTCAGTCCCGTGCTTGACTCCACTCCTTCCAGAGGTTCTCCATCATCAGGATCCTGGCTCAAAGAGGCCCAAAGAGGGTTCTGATTCTCTGGCTTCTTCCTGGCTCCCTCATTGCCTTTCACTTAAGACATTCCTAGGATAATGAGGCTGAAGTTTTCAGAAGAGGAAACAACAATAAAAACAAACCAGGATAAAGCTGCAGCACTGATTCAAATGCAAGTAGTGTGACTCCAGGGTTCACACATTATCTGTAAATGAATAAAAAAAATTTTTAACTTAAAAAAATTCCTCATGAATGTTAAGAATCTGATTTTCTGGATTATAATAAAACCAGTACTATAAACATGCTGAACATACTCTGAAAAAAATGGAAAAAGCTCAGAAAAATCCATGTTGTACTTAAGTGTGTGTAATAACTGCAGGGTGAGACCTGAGAAAGGCAGACATGAATCAAGCAAGGATGCTGGATGAGGGAGAGTATGCCTTATATACGATCTCTAGATGGGGGACGAATTTACACTGAAGGTCATCTGGGTACAAACACTTGACTAGATGGGACTTAATGTGTATAGTGGAATACATGAGGTCCAGTGGGGGAACTGGAGGCACGGATGGGGGAGGGGGAGTCTAAATTTGATTAAGAACTGTTTTTAAAAACTACAAAAGCTCAATAATTTTTTTTTTAAAAAGGAAGTAACTTTTCAGAATCTAACAAATCAACCTAAAGAATAAAAACAGAACAGCATCTCCTATACAGAAGCAATGAAGGGAAGACAGAAAATATTCTAATGAGGTACATATCATCTTCCAAAAGAGAAGCCACATGCAGACTAGAGAGGAATGAAGTCCTACCCAGGCAGTCTTGGTCTTTTAGGTTCCTTACCTACACACAATACCTACTTCAAATTTATGTTCTCCCAGATTCCAATCTCTACAATGCTATGGTCCTAGGAACTATGGAATCCATGTAGTCTCTTGAATGTGAACATCCTTTCTACATCACCCTAATCAGTCTTTTCCTAAAACTCCAAGTTGGTCTGTAACCAAAACTGTCCATTCTGTGACAAACTGCCAGATGTAAGCATTTAATAATTAACTATTTGTCAGGTAGTTAAATCACATAATGTGACTCATAAATGCCTCATAAGAGGGTTGGGAAAATAATCTCAATTTATAAAGGAAACTAAAATATGGAACAACTGGTCACTTGTCCAGGATCATACTTTCCCAAGATCATTCAGCCCAACTCCTAAGCTTACAACTGCTTGCTCCAACTGCCTCCCTTAAAATAAGTGATTTCATCAGTGAATAAGGAGTCAGACACTAAAACAGAAGTCATAGCACAGGTGTTTTAACAGTAGAATAGACCTACGGTTACTACTTCTGAGATAAGAAAATTTTACAAAGTAGTCTACTTTATTGATGGTCAACTCTAAATGGTAGAAAAAATGTGCTTCATATTGAGCAGAAACAAGTTTATTTATTCATCTTCTGGCTCTTCTATACTCTTTGGAGTGAAATGAAACAAATGGAGTGCCACTGAGAAATTTTTGTCCCTAGGTCTCTTCTCACCTTGCTTTTGGATGATTATCATTTTGTATCAGGTTTTTTTCAGTCTCTGAGACAGGGTCTCCCTGTAGCTCCAGGTGACCTAGAACTCACTATGCAGACCAGGCTGCAGATCCTCCTGCCTCTGCTGAGATTAAAGACATGCAGCACCATGCCTGACTTACTAACAATTTTAAAATAAGACATTCATGCTGCCATGTCAAAACCTCGAGCAAGTTCATGGTTTTTTTTTTAGCCAAGCTACAGTAATTGCTTGCTGAAACAAACTGAACCTTTCATTTTCTTTGTAAAATTTGAATTATTAAAAATGTTAAAGGGAGCCAGGTATGGTGGTACATGCCTTTAATCCCAGCACTCGGGAGGCAGAGGCAGGCGGATCTCTGTGAGTTCAAGGCCAGCCTGGTCTACATAGTAAGTTCCAGGACAGCTGGAGCTACAGGGAAACCCTGTCTCAAAAAGACCCCCCCCGAAAAAAATTTAAAGGGAAAATAGCTCAGTGGGTAAGAGCTTTTGCTGTGCAAACATGACCTAAGTTTAAATTCCCAGCACTAGATAAAAACCCAGGTGTGGCCATGCACGCCTGTAACCCCAATGCTGTGGGGGCAGAGACAGAAGGATTACTAAGAACTAGTAATCCACCAGCCTAGTCTCAAGGGAATAAGGTGGAGCATGCTAGAGCAGGACACCCAACATTCTCTTCTGGCCTTTACAAGTGCGCGCGCGCACACACACAGTCACACATACACAAACAAAAATATATTAAGTAAATAAAAACATTCAAGTAGCATTTAACTTTTAAATTTTAATAAATTTATTTAAAATATTCTTATATCTATAAAAGTATCAATTCTTAAAGTATTACAGGCTGAATATGAAATGCTCTACATAGGCTCGTGTGCTGAGAACACTTGTTGGCAAGCTGATAGCTTTATTCTTAGATGTGATGCAAACTTTAGGAGGTAGGAACTAGCTGGAAGTTTGAAGGTTAGTATACCTGATTCACTGTCTCTTCCTGCCTCATCACAGGCTCAGAATCAATGAAGTCAAGGACTGGGAAATCAACAAAGCCAAGAACCTCTGAAACTGTGAGCCAAATAGCTGCTCCCTGTACTGTTCTCTCAGGTATTTAAATCACAGTTATAGAAAGCAATGAACAAAGAAACTATACAATTAAATGTATATAAAATGTTGTATGTATATTTGTTCACATGCATTATTCTGGATGAAGCAATCACAGGCCATAAAAAGTTGAGAGCCACCGTTCAGAAAAACCCTGGTTTATGTCCTTTCTTGTGGTGCTCAACCTGGACATGATACTCTCACTGGGATCCCAATGATACAACCACCTTGAGACCACTGTTTCCTGCC